TACCGGCGTATCCCACATAAAATATCTCTTTAATCATGTGACACCTTCATTTCCCTAGTTTTTTTTCAAAAGTCAAATTATTGGTAATTACAATCAGTTTTTGATTCTAATATTTAGAATAAAACATTTTTTTAGTATGTAACCAGTATGTTTTGGATTTCCTTATAAGACTTAAATATGACTTCGTTATTCTAAGTTGATTCTTAAGTGGTTATGCTAAATAAAGATAGTATTAAGAAGATAAATAATAACTGACAAAAGATACTTGATAATTTTCGTTCATCTCACGGTTTTGTTTTTGTCATTTGTATCAGCTTTCCCGCAGTAACATATCGAGATGTGTACTTACCGTTATTTGTATTCGCATTACGAACTAGTGGGTATTATTCGAAGATAAGTTTGGTATTTATTATTATTTTATCATTGTTATTAGTAGTGTATTGCTCATTATTCCATCTTTTGGTGAATTGTCCTTTCCTTCATTTCCTGTGGAGTCCGTTGATTATATATAGATTGCTAATTAGTTTTCGTAATTCACTTCTCACTTTAGTTTGATCAATCCGTACATGTTGCAGTGAAAAATCACATTTTTATGGGTGGTTCATAGTTACAATATTTTATTCACGTTCAGAGTAATAAACTTATATTGTTGATGCAACCTGTAAATTTATTATAATAATCACGTATCCCATAAAACTCATGGGTAAACGTAAAGTTGATGGCTTTTATGTATATAGATATTTGAGCCTCGTATGTTCAAGATAATTAAAACACCAAATACGAAACTATTTATATTTACTTCATTGATCTACCAACATCTGCATATAGTCTAAGTCCCTAAATGATTGGTAGTTCTTCATTTATATGTAATGATGTACCTTTTAAGAAATCAGTGAAATAAAATCGATTCATTTTATTCACTTATTGTTACTTTTGACCAAGTCGACTTAGGCAATTAAATGTACTACTACTACCTACTACATATTAAGTAACTGTTTGGTTGTATTCAGAAAATTGAGTCTGTATGTGCACAAAAACCCTGCTATAATATTTATTATTTAACGTTACTAGAGAATCGCTTATGAATTCATGTATAATCAACGGTAAATGTGATGTGATTCAATAAATCAAATCATCTAATGACTGAATTACATTTAGATTTTTAAAAAATTCAATTAAATAAATCTCAATTGTTCTCAGTCCAAATAACTATTCTGTGTTAGAAACTTAGAAAATTTTTGTTTTTGAAGGCATTTTTAAACAGATCAGCGTCAATATTTGTTTTTACTGTTCTAGAAATCGATTACTTGTAGAAGTGTAAAATTATCTGATTTACTCACTTCTTCCTAAATTCTTAATTGTGTCTCATCATTTGTAATTCTACTAACTATGCTTACTATTCACCTTGTTTGTCATATGAGCTATTAGTTAAAACAGATACATGATTTTGTCTCTAGATTATTTCTACTTCAATTTTATATATAATTTTCGGCTGGAATTTTACACTGTTTGTCCTAGTGCCAGCTCTAATAAACATCTCACTTGTCTGCTTTCCAACTGTAACTTATAGACTTAAAATAAATACCTTTGGTTGTTAGGTCTATGGTGTATTAATTACTCACTCAATATAGTTTCAACAATCTTAATGATTTAAGAGATGATAATCAAATATAAATTTAAAGTTTACATCACGTACTAATCTTAGTTAGTAAACCATATAGAACTACGAAACACTGGACAGATGTTTCGTCCTAATATGAGACTCAGTGGTGCGTATTCACGGACTTTCACGACATCGAGCCCAATACTTTCGGTCTCGCCGTTAACAGTTAACTACTAAACCACTAAACAGGCATCCAATTATGTACATATCAAATTTGAATAAAATCCCTGTTTTAAAGACTATTCCCTTCTACTCGCAGAATATATTAACTCAATCATGTTGAACTACGTAAAGTATAATGATGCAAAAGATCAAAGAGGCTTTTTTAAACAATTTTCCTGTCATTTTCATTTCTTATGTGTTAACGTTTACAGTTGAGCAAATGCTTCCTCTAAAACAATTCTTTTCATACACAGAATGATTTTTATCTGAATTTAAAATTTATTCAGTTTTGTTTATTATGCGATTCACTAACTGTAGAATGTTTTATATGTAATGATTTAACAATCCGAATGCAGCAATCTCATGCTCTAATAATCCCTAGTATATTAATTACACATGTTTCACACCTAACATTCAATATTGTTGTTAAAGGCTCCACTTAACTCACTTCTAGTAGCATCCCAAGCGTAGATAATGGACTCCTTAATCAATCGTATGCATTTTGCTTATAAATAATCAAGCTCTGTATGTTCACTTACCACATATTCCAGTCAGTTTAACAAGTCTCTTGATATCCACAACCTAAGAGCATTATTATTCAACTTTTGACAATGATGTATTCTGCACAGCTTTAGTCTTTTCACTATGTACGGCTAGCTGATTAGGCGTTAGAAACCCATATAGTTACTCAATCGAATAGCAAAACATAACAATTAGTCTAACATAGATTTCTCACAAATTCGCGTACCTAAAATACAAATACTTTTCCAACTGTTGCGTCATCGAAATTCCCGGTGTACAATCTTTTAACAACCCTCAATAAATAGCAGCTGATGAAACTTACAGTTTTTAATTCTTTTTTACGAAAACTTTCACACCTCACTCGTATCTTCCCCATACTTAATTTGAATCTTCATATCAATAGAACATGTTTAATTGACCTGTTAATACAAGTTGTGATGATTTACTTGTATTTTGCAAATCATTTTCTTAATCTTAATACTTCTCCGCATTTCATGTACCCATCATAACTTCTTGATACGTTTTCGTCTTTACTTCGACATTTTCTAAGTTTCTGTGAAAATTCTTTTCATTACTATGAAACATCGAATTTATACGGACAATTTTCAAATGTAATCTGAGTTAATCTCATTTTTCTTAAAAGACTTAAAGATAATGTGGTTACTTTTAAATGTGCACGTTCCTTTTTGTCGATTTGATTGATGTTTTCCGTTCTTTTGATTATTGTCTCATAATATGTGAAAGTTATCATAAAAGGATATCTTGGATACGCTCAATTGTATCCCAGTGAAACATCTATCTGAATAATATAAAAGTATTGCGGTTCGCGAATGTAGAAGAATGTGTAATTATTACTGAGGAATACATTTGCTTCATAATTCTCCTTTCCGTTCTCCACGCCTTGCGTCTTTGTTTTTGCCTGTTTTCTATCTATTTATATTTTGATGTTAAATTTGTCTGTCAGCATAGATCTTTCCAGCTTAGAAATTACTACTTTTAATGTGCCCGAGTTTTGCATTGTGTCTATGAAAATACGCATGATCCATTACCGACTCAATAACGATTTATAACCCGACTATCGATATTCCACTAATATTTTTTATATGAATAAATAAGTGCGTAGTTTTTTCGTGTGTGTGTATTTTTTCATTGTTCTGACCAGCTTGCTAAAATGTACAAATCTATTATGTTTCGTATTGTAGTTTAATATTGTTGCTTTTCTGCCTTACCTAATACATACCACATCCAGTTAATTAATATTCCAATTTATCTGTAGTCGACCAAACACTTTCATTTCCACTTCATGATTGATACACCGGCCATTTGTTTTTTGGCTGTTTTCCTAATGTTACACTTTTTCAAAAGATTGCCTGGTAGTCTTATATACGTTTATATACATGCTCAGCTTTGTTTCAGTTGATGCTTTTGAAGTTTAAGTTACTGATTTGTAAGGTTTATAACACCTAGTGTGTCCTTGCTTATCAAACATTATTAATTCAATATCCCTATGGTTTAACTGTTTTAATTAGTCCCATTATTAATTGATTATAAATTTTATCCACAAAAAGTAACCCACGTATTGTAGTATCCTTTTTTAACAATTTTTGTTTATATCTATAAATTTATTTATTACTAATAATGAGCCGCATATGTCTCTAGTTTTGGGACGTTTTCGTACCATTGAGACAACCTAGTAAAGAACTCCGAGATAAGATATAAGGTATTTGGTGAGTACGGAGAATCTTTTGAATGTGTCTGTAAGTCCTCGCCAACTGAGTTTCTTAGGTATTAGCGGGATATAGATTAGATTGCGGCACTTTCCGTGCAGGACTGTTGAGGCACGCTGATTGGCTACTTCTTGACCAGTCAGCGCTAGTATATACTCGGAGAAGATTTGGTGTGTTATGTAGAAATTATGAATATACTAACGTCTTTCTTGTTGTGATACCGACTTGCGTTCAACCATGTTCATTTGGAATATAATTACGTTACTGTTCAACTGTGTTCTAATATGTGTAGCTTGTCGAGTGAAATATTGTCAATGAATATTCAGTATTAGGAGTATCTGGTACGTAGTAAGAGAAATCCTAACCCTGGGTCATCCGTTACGTTTACTAAATCACGTCTTACTTCAACGTAAAACCTTGACCGGAGTGTTTCATATAAGGTAAGGGGCTTAACACAGTCCAAAACGTTTTTGGCTACAGGTATGAGCTGTGTGTTGCTAAGTCCAGACCAAATGGCTAGTATTTACCCGACAATCTTGATGAGTGTTCGGAGGCAACTATAATTAATCCTTTGTCTTATATCTCAGAATCGTTCCATACTTTGCGATCCGTAAATTCATTCCTTCTTTTAAAATCATATTTTATTAATTTATTCCTTTGTATCTATAACGTTGCCAGTGTATGGACTCAGTAACTGTTCGTTTTTCCTTCCTTTCTCTCGCTGAAATAATGTCGTGTGGTTACTTAGGTTCATGCACAGGTTCTACACTTTTTAGTTTAGATGACTAACAGTTCACGTTTTTTTTTAAGTGAAGAACCTCACCAATATTAGGAGACTGTGTACACTGACCCAAGGTAGATACACGTAAAATCATGGTTCGAGATTCCTAGTTAATCTCTCTATTCATTCTTTTCTCGTTAAACAGGCAAAAAACAGGACATCATCCGGGCAACAGAACAACTATTGGCTGCTGCTGCAGCTGGTGACTTCGAACTCTACCTGTAAGTTTCGTGTTTTATATAATTATCTGATTCACTGTATTCAGTCAATAAGCTTATCGAAAAGTTTCAGTTTCATTGAATTCATGAATGAAAATTAAACCACCATCGGAAACCTGGAAGCATTGAATGGTCGTTTCGTCTTAGTATGGGACACCCTATCAGTGGGCATCCACAATCCCTCACGCGGGACTTGGATCTAGGACTTTTGTTCTCGCGTGCGAACGCTCAACCTCAATACCACTGAGGCGGAATCCAATGGTGTTAATTCCTAACCCCAACCAATCCAATACTTGCGCGATCATCTTACATTGTTTTCAGTGTGTAATTGCTTCAAACCCGACACGGACTAACTTCACTGGTGACAGATTCTCACTAGGACTCTGGAAATTCTCTCTCGAAGCTAGTCACTAGTGAGCACATGATAATTTTCAGAAATTTTGAATTCATATAGCTCCACTTCGCATAACTTAATGAAAATACTTGTAAATTAAAAGTCTCTTACTTCACTTTTTGTTTTCGTATGAGATTCTCATCAACTGCCTCGGTGTTACAACCAGTGTAACACTAATTGTTGACATCTGTCATCTTAACTTCATACTGATTTTGATTGTGTAAAAAAAAAACAAGATAAGTCATAAAATATCGATTCTAATTTTTGACTCCTGAATTATAAGGCTGTAACATATAGTCGGTCAAAACTTGTAAGAACCATTCAACTGAGACATTTATGCTACAATAATTAGTAACATATACTTATAAATAGTTGCTCTTACCCTTAGAGCATAGTAATATCAAAACAATTGGTGGATCAAATGAATGCTTAGAATTAGTATTGCATAAAATCACTAGAATGTAGTTGTTTAGTAAAAACCTTAAAAATATGTAGAATGACCTATTGTAATAAAACTGATTGTAAAACCAATTATTCGAGATCCTCATTTCTCTGGTTTTAATTTGTAGTTGAACAAATCCCATAATGGAATTACTTGGTCAAAAAAAATGTTTTACACAGCTGACGTTTTACTTTATATCACTAAATTTACTCCTAGGTAACTGGGCTTATATAACATTATTTTCTTTATTCTTTTTTTCAAATAAAGCACTATAAGCATAAATGTTTGTGAATTGCTTTTTTCTTGTCTTTTTGTTTCAGTAAATTTTTGGATTCTCAATTCACCTATTTCGGTCCAGAAGCATGTGGGAATTTACTCGAAGGGGCTGATTTCCATAAGTTTTACTTTGAACAAAGTAAGTTTCTTTCGTTAGTGATGCGATTTTTCTGTATTTTCTCATACTTTTATGCTTTAATGATGTAGGTTAGTGTGTTTAGTTAACCAACCTTCGCTGAAGTCCCGTGGTTGCTTTCGTTTGTCATGTCATAAATAGTTCAGATCATTATCCTAATTTTTTTATCACTTAAACATACATAATTTGAGCAAACACGGATGGTTGGCTTGCAGTGTAATCCAGGACGCGCGTTTCGTCATATTTGTATTCCACTGCTAGCCGCCATCCATGTTTGCTCATAATGATTGTAACTTAAGGCAATATTGACACAATCCACACAGGGTGCGCATAAGCCAATAATAGATTGATCAATTGTAGCTCCAAACATCAGTGGGAAGTTCCAAACAAACAATAAAAAATGAATACATATTCTGTTTTACAATTCCGTTTGTCAGTAACAAAAACGATTATTTTGGGGATCGAGCGCATATTTGTAAACATATGAGCTCTGTAGTTTTTTTTTATCAGAAATACCAATTTTTTTCGTATGACGATTTTTAACAAGCGATTTATTTGCTGTGCTGTAATAGAGCAACGTTGTATGGAAAGTAGAAGTTTCACAACGTCAACTGACTCCTTTCCATAATAATACTCTAAAGTTAGACGTGTGTGAGAACCGACATTAAATGCCAGATACATGCATCAAAATCCGAGGGTAACGAACGAATAGGCTAGCAAGATTCCTCGACTCAATTAATTATCTTTATTAGGATTAGGATAAAGAGACCCTTTTGATAACAGTTTTAATACATCATATTTAAATTTTATTCTTGAGAACAAATTCCAACACAAAATGTAATTAAATCAGACTAATCCTTAAACTTCGTTAGTGAAAAAGACTACGTAGTAATTTATCAACCTTATAATCCTATTATTACTAAGTGCTTATTTTACTGCTCAACTTTCTCTCTAGTCATTCCGAAATCAGTTGTTCGTGCTATTCATACCAGTATACTGAACCCGACTGTACATTTAATGGGTGAAGATGCAGCTTGTATTGCCTACACAAGACTTACTCAGTTCCTAGATAAGTGAGTTATCCTTGCATATTTTTCTTAGCTTAAAAACATCGTTAAGCGATATAGTAGTAACTTTTTCTGTAACCATATTTTACTACTTTCTATAAATAGATGTGGTATGCCCCATACACAACAAACAGAAGAAACCCGTGTTTGGGTAAGACGTAATGATCGTGGCTGGCAGAATGTCCATGTACATCGTTCTTGTTTATCAGCAGGCTCAGGTGGTGGTGGATTCTCAAATATTAGTACAACTGGATCAGCTAGTTTCAACTATCCACTTTAGAATCAAAATAATATTGCTCAGATCATGAGAGATATTGAAACAAGGAAGTATATGTATACATATACTATCAGAAATTTTATGCTTTAATATTGAATCAATTCCGTTTGTCTTTTTGCGTATTTTCTTTCTTTCTTAAAATTTCAACATGCAATTTATCCAATCAATAAAAACCAGGTTTATCTGATTAAAAATATAAACCTATTCATTTTGTCGTTTCTTTGCTCATGTTGATATGCACATTAGTTTTGCAATTCGATTTTATAATGCAAAATCTGATTACTTAGTCGGTTAAATGTTCACTTATCTTAATGGTTAACTTGTATGTGCAATTAAATTCTTGCTTTATATCCTCGTTGATTTAACTTATTTATTCACTGATATTCTCTGATGTTTTTAAGTGTGCGGTTAAATAGCTGACATTCCACTTTACTCACTTGTTTTTAGTTTATACTCAAGTAATACGAGATTTCTTTCTGTTAATACTGACCTACCACTTACCCACAAGACAAAAATATTAAGTTGTTTCTATGTAAAGAATTCTGATTGGTATACCACTTTATGTTTATTGTTACAAATGTTAATGATTGTTGGAACTTGTGCACGAACAATTACTTGTATAATACATCACTGAACTTATGAATACTTGTCTTATCAGGCTATAACATCTACTTACCTGTCAAACAGGAAAAACACAATATCTATGCTACTTTTAGTGCGCATTTTGCAACTTATGATCTACGTTCATTCTCTTCTCACTTTTTGCCCCTCTTCGTATCTCAGTCCACTTGATATTTAGTTTTTTTGATTTCCTGAGTATTCTTCCTGGACTATCTCATGATTTTTTGTCCATGGCTTGTTTTAAAAAGAATAAAGTCCATGCAAAAAATCTTCAGTTTACATAGTCCACACTTTTACCATTATTCGTTATCGACTGTGATGCTTTTCTTGTGTTCTGTATTTTTGTTTATCTTCAATTAACTTATGAATAGTACGGACTGATTATAATTTCGTAAATGTTATTCGTACATTTGATTCCTTCCACTTCAAATTGCTTATTTTTGATTTCTACATTGTCTGTTTTATTATGCTTTTCTTTCAATTATTGCTACATACTATGCTTTCCAAATAAGCATGCATGTCTTTCAATGCTTCGTACTTATTAAATTTAATAATATTTATCATTATCGTTATTTCGTCGTGGTAAAATTTTAACTTTTTCCGTACGATTGTTTGTCAAGCCTAATTTATTTAATCATCGTTGTGGTCTGGACAAATATTTTATTTCGAATTATTATATCTTGTTCCTGTTATATGTCTTTTAGATTCTTAAACTTTTGTATTTGTACCTGTCATAATGAATATCCTATAATCTTCCCTATAAAAGTAATTAACTACTTATATTTATTTCAGTGGAAATTATGATATTAAGGATTTCTATGTTTTACTTTCTTGGTTTATATAGGTTCGAATGTACATGAGTTACGTTCATGAACCTTTTTCCACCAAAATAAATTGAAGATATAAGTGTTCAGCGTTCAACAAGAGACAGTATTCGTGATATTATTTTAACTTTCCTAGTCAATTTGTCAGCATCTTTCGTTTGAAGTAACAAACCTTCACATATTTATTTCTGTTCTTATATCTACATTCAGTTTTTACTGTATGCTTCCATTAAACTTAAAAAAATTCAATACATCTGTTTTTTGACCTTTATATATTTTTCTTTATTCTAAGAATATATTATTTTATTCTAAAAACAGTTGCACATTTACTGTGTTACTACGAAGGAAAACATCACTTTCCCTAATTATACGTATGTACTTGTGTTTATAATAAACTTATGTGTAACAAAGAATCGGCCAGTAAGCTAAATCCAATGCTTTATATTGTTCGACGACCACTATAGTGGTGTATTAATCATTGAATATAATCTTCTGTTTTATAGGCGCCTACTTGTAACCGAGTCTGTTTTCCCTTAATGTTCCTCTCTAATTAAATGTTGGTTTGCTTTCTAAGCCGATAAAAATAGTGATTTCAGTGTGAAGTCTTTTCTCGGTGATGCTATGTGTACCTGTTACATTTGTTTGTCTGCTTTTCTGATTATTTACTTGTTGTTCCGTTGTTGTTATTTTGTTTCCTACAAAAAATGTCAAAACAGGTTCACTAACGGATCTTTTATGTTTCTTGTATTTTCTGTTGTTAAGTATTATTTGATTAGGAAGATTAACCATGACTGAAAATATTATATTTCAAAAACTTACCTGCAACAATTTATCTGTAACCTCGTATTTGTTTGGTTGTTTTCTCGTTATTTATTATTGTTTATTCCTCAACCTGTTTATTTCATTCATTTTGCTCACACACACTTACCCAGCTTACATGTCGACTAGCTGGTGAAAAAAGCCAGAAATACAAGGTTACTCTTAATATGGAGTTTATTTTTAATGGAGAACTAATTGGAATACTTGGGTATAATTCATTTGATTATGGACGTTACTGCTGCCTATTTTTGTTCAAACCATTCATTGTGAAGGCTCGAACTGAGTTTGTCAGTAAGTTAGCTTATACAGTATTATTAGACTAATCTCACTAAAAATTCAAGTTAAATATGTCTTCTTTATACAAAACTGATGTTAGAATCAAAGTTTATTTTCTACTCAATAATTAGGGAATTTCCTTGATTTAGATATAAAATTAACCATGAAGTTTATTTTATCATATAATCGTTGATAAGTCGCGATATAACATGTGATTTATTCATCTATTTGATTATCCGTATTCTGCAGCAGTCAATTAAGAATACATAAAAGCTGAAATATGTTTTCAAATAGTAGTTATCACTCCGAAGAAAACTAAACCAAACTCGTGTCTAGTCTGTTAAGTTCCCTGTTCTAAGTAGTTCATTGTTTACAAAGTTGATAAAATTTAGTTAGGTAACTGCTTTCGTATTGAAAGCACTGCAGTTTGATTGTCTTATAGGGTTATGCTGTCATAAGTTTGATTGCTTCATTCTGCTAAGGATCACGTCTCGATGTAGCCATAGTATTGATAGTTTAGTTAGCGCATGATAGATGTTTGTATTGATCCAACTTCTTTGGATCCTTAAACAATATGTCAAGAAGTACCTTTAAATAATGTTATCACTCAAAATACGAACTAGTAATACTGAAGGTTTCTAAACTAACATCCTTCGTAAGAGATAAACGAGACTATTTTCAAAGTGTTGAACCCTATTAGCATGGATTCAAAAGTGATCACATCACTATTAAGCTTAATTCTCGTTAAATCCATCTTATTCTGATGCTATATTTAATATTAGCACTGCTCATGCACATTCGTTGCATTTCACTATTTATTCAAACTTCGAAATATTAATCAAATTATAAATAAGGGTCTTAAGGTATATTTTATCACAAATGTATAATATCGTTTGTCCTGATTCTGACACATTGAGGAAAAATCAAGTTGTTTACCAGCATTGATTACGAAATGTTTCGAATAAAACTGTTATACTTCCAATCTACGCTCCGACCAATGCTAAACGATAGTGAAGACTACTGATTTTCTCATTATTTGTGTGCATACAACAAGTAGTCCAGAAATGAAAATATAATCTTTTTTCTGAAATAAATATGAATCCCACTGAATGATCGACTTTCTAAATGGCTGTCTACATATAATTAACGTATGAAAAGAACAGGGGCTTTTGTGAAAAATTTGTGGTTTGGTGACCCATTACATAAAATGTTGAAATGAATTTTTTCCTTAATTACCTCACACTAAACACATCTTAGCATAAATTTATTTTTACTGTTCCGTGAATGTAAGTCTTTCATGCAATTCTGGAGCAGCTTGTATTTTATATTCACCCAAACGAAATCAAATGAAATTTTTATAAAATTAATTTGTATTTAACAGATTTCATCTAAAATTCCAGAAAATAGGTCAAATTTGTGTATATCTTGTCAGGTGGAAGATTTATTATATTGCACTATACATGGTGGCAAGAATATCCGACGAAATAAATATATAAGAAATCATAAACAGACTTGTACCACCAATAAAAAAACCTATTGACCATCTGGTGCGCGACATTTGATCCCGATTAAACTAGTTTCATATGAAGAAAAAACGTTTGCTTATATTAGACAATACGATTGGCGGCCTGTATTTATTTCACTAACATTATCAGTTTCAGTTTATTTGTTGTAAAACTGGCACAGGATATAAATTTGTAGTAATCATTGTTTATATTCCGTTGAATTAAGTTTTTTGAGAATGAAGAAAATGCATAACAAGCAAAGATGGAAAGTGACTATTAGTGGAATCCAGGCCGCGCGTTCCGTCCTATTTGAGACTCGTTGGCTGGGTGTACCTGCATCTCAGAATTGATGTGTCACTCTGGGACCCGGACGCAGTACCTTTCACTTCAAACGCCACTGCATTATCCACTTAGCTACTGAGCCCTGATATCCACTTGCTTGTACGATGGGAAGGTTCAAGTAAACAATACCAATTGAATTTAAATTTCACCCCATTGCACAAACGAGTGGCTATCAGGACTCAGTGGCTAAACGGATAACGCGATGGTGTTTGAAGCGAACGCTACTGGATTCGAGTCCCAAAGTGAACATCAACTCTGAAATGCAGGTACATCCAGCTGAGTCCCAAATAGGACGGAACGTGCGTCCTGGATTCCACTATCCATCTTTGCTTATAATGCTTGCGAATTAAGACAGTGTCAAGGCAATACGCACATATGCCAATAAGAGACTGATCAATTGCAGTTCTAAACATCAATGGGAAGATTCAAGCAAACAATGCCAAGTGAATTTAGGTCATAAAATTGATCTTAACTCGGCTTATGTGGTGTTGTACAAAAGTGTAAAAGGGCGTATACTAAGGTTTATTGTAGCCTTAGCCATACAAAAATTCAAACCCCCTTTGTGTATTCAAAAACAGTCTGTTCTCACCTTAAACCTACTCTAGTAATATTATCTAGAGTGATGAGATTTCAAATTGTCCTCACATTATTTTCTTTGTTATCCATGTCTCCTCTTACCCTCCATTTCTAGTCTAGTTGACCTTTTATTTTTATATATAAATGTTCTTAACAAATATATGTGTGATCAGATTGTTCGAAATAATCTTCGTCTTCTTATTACACAATCTGAATCTTCTATCTAGATTTAGCATTCAAATAACAATTGTACTATATTGGTAGCTGTATATGCACTATATATTTGTGAAGCTTTTCAGAACAAGAAAGTGATTTATTTCAAGGAATTTTTATATATCAGGTTCACAATAAAGACCGACCATCAGAAGCACTAAATGGGAGTTCCCGATAAAATACAGTGACAGTAAAATTAGATCATACCATTCGTTCTTTTTACCATGACAAAATATTTCAGATTTTAGAGTTTAACATTTACGTATTATTATGGACTCTAGTCTCCCAATCTGTTTACTAGTGATTATTTCAGTTTGAGCAACATACATACTTTTACGTGCTTGTCAATGAACTTTTCCTAACTGCAAGTGTAAGTAGATGACGATTGTAGGGTTATTTCAATATACCCACCTGCTATCTTTTAGCAAATAATCGATGCATGTTAACATGTATACCTGAAACAGCAGCTTATATAGATATCACAGTTATGCTTTCAACTGAACTGAGGGTTAACTGTGGTATTTGTATGAACTAATGATTCCTTGGTACTTGATTGCCCTCTGATTATGAATACGTTCATTTATATTCATCCAATTCTACCTGCCTTAAATTGCACTATTTCGGGAACTCCTAGTTAGTATATTAATTCGAATACTTCTTATTATCATATAAACTTTCTGATCGACTACATCAATTTCCTAACCGAGTGATGAAGTATAGTTTTCAACTACTTGAATAAGAATGTATCTTCATGTATTCGATCTAATAACTTGGTTTCATCTTCGATTAGAACAGTCGCCAGCCATCAAACATTAGTCTTTTAATGTAATTACAAATCGGGAATTACATAATATGTTGAATAATACGAATTGGTTAGGAATCAGTAAATAGGGCTGGATGCTGAATAAATTTCTCAAGAAGTTTAGCAAGTGTAATAATAATGATGTGTGGATAAAATAAGTTTAGGATGTAAAAATGAGCATTAATCTAATTACGTCACCAGATCATAAAATTAACTAGATGGGCCTGAAGTTGGCCACGGTAAAAGCAGCGGCTGGACATATTTCACATGTGAGGAAGAAAATTGAAGTAGAACAACCTTTCTAGATGTTCTACTTACAAAGAGAAGCGATGGGTCACTAAGATGAAACATAAACAAGAAAACTACTTGGACTAGCTATTATACTTGATTGAGACACTTCACTATAGAATCAAGACCATATGCTCTCTAGATGCTGCTGAAGACGAAACGAAAGTGATTGTACATGATCTTGAAAGGAAACGGACATCCGGAGAAATTTGTGGATAAGCATATAGCTAACAAAAGAGAGCATAATGAATGCCTTTGTTTATAGACTCGCAATTCAGAGGCGATGCACGTAGTGAAATACTATGACTAAAGTTATGCAAATCAATCCAAAGAACTTTTAATGCATGTGAACAACAATTAATGCTTTCCGCACATCCAATGATCACTTCGAGGTTGAAAATAAATTGCCTAGACTAGCCACTTTTTTCTGTATCTATTAATTCAACTGTTCCTGTGGAGCAAGTTATATTGGCAGATGTTCTAGAAATTAGTGTATTGGGGCTTGTGAGCACCTCCCAGTGTGGTAAAGCGAAGGTGTAGTTAAAACTGTTAACAGCCCCATTTTAGCTTTAATTCAAACGGGACATACAACCAACATGGAGCACTTTCACAATAATATATCGTGCTAACAGCAGTCTATCTAATCCCGTCAGACTGAGTATCCTGTAAATGGCTGAAGAAATTGCTATTCGGATCAAAAAAGGTAGAGCTTCGCATCCAAAATAAATAAGTTAGACATTAACACAGTCGGATGCCGACTAAGTGGTCTAGACGTTAAGCACCCGCGTGCGAGACTGATTGGTCCTGTGTACGCCTCTCGCGAGGAGTCCCATACTAGGACGAAACGGGTATATAATTATAGAAAAGAATATTCTTCGTTCATATAATTGTGTTTTAATATGGGAATTTTCCAGAGATTAGAAACTACAATAAACAAACATGAAAGAAAACAATTTATATGGAGATATCATTTCTAAGAAGTTTGTAGCTATGTCATATTTTACAATATTACAAACGTATTTATACAACGTTGCAATGACAATTATAACTAAAACTATTAAAGTTAAAAATAATTGTCATCAGAACTGCGTCGAAGTAATCGGACAAGCTAAGTTAGACTGAGCTCGACGATTGTTTATCGCCTACTGAAGGAATTATACGTTGA